CCTGCAAGCCCGCCGCGCGGCCCGCCTTCTTCACCTCCACGAAGGCGCTGCGCTTCGCCTCTCCGGTCTCGGGGCTGGGCGGCGCGAAGAGCCGGCCGTTCTCCTCCAGGCCGAAGTAGCTGCCCGCGGCGCGGTACTGCTGCGGCGTGCACACCAGCTCCTCCTTGGAGGTCGCCAGCGGCCGCTCGGAGAAGCGCGCACGGCCACCCGCCAGCCCCGCGCCGCTGCCCTCCGCGGCCGCCTCCTCCGGGAACCTCCTCTTCCCTTTGCAGCCGCCCGCGGCGACGCCGTCGGGACTCAGCTCCGCCTCCTGGTGGCCGGTGCGGCTCCCGCCGACGCTCGGGGCCGCCGAACAGCTGCTGCCTCCCCGGGAGTTTTCGAGTTCCCGAGCCAGGTTGTGGAAGTCCGTGGACGGCTTGGCGCTGCCGGCACCTGCGGCTGCGGGTGGGTTGCTAGTCTCCGGGGACGGAGCCGGGTAGTGGTGCATGGGTCCGGCTTTGCAGAATTTGGGGCCTGGGACCAAGGGCGCCTCCTGTTGCTGCTGCTGCTGCTGTTGTTGTTGCTGCTGCTGTTCTTTGCCACCGCCGCCGCCGTGGTCCTTGGTGCCCACGCCGCCACTTTGCTGGTCTTGGGGATTCGCATCAGCGCTGTGAAGTCTCTTGGGGCAGCGGAATCGCAGATGCGCCACGTAGGGGAACTCAAACTGGAAACGTTGGCTGCATTCCAGGCATGTGTAAGGGGACGACCCTGCTTAGTGAGCAAACAACACACACACACACACACACACACACACACACACACACACATCACATGGTTAGTCAGCATTGCCCCCAGGCCACTTAGCCATCATCCCCGTAACAAATCCACTTTATCTCTCTGGGCTGAGTGCCGGAGAAAAGAATATACTATCCCACTTGGTACAACTTTCCTTCTTGACTTGGTGAAGTACATTTATCAAGCCAGGTGAGCCCCATCTTTCCCTTCCCTTTCTGTCCCAGCTGTATTCTGGACAGACACCTCAGAAACTTGCTCTAGCCTATGAGACACCCAAGAGAAGCAAGGTGTGCCGGGCGCCTGGGTTAATCCCTGCTGCTCGGCTCCCCGGTGCCTCTTCCCAGCTGGCGACAGACCCACACGCAGGTCGCAAGCCAACCTACCGTTCATTTTGTGGGATCTAGAGGAGTAGAGCAAGAGTAACTCAGTCAGTTCTTTCCCGTACCAAACTAACAATTCCTCGTCTTTGGCAATCCTGCGGAGAGAGCGGTAGAACAGCTGTCCGTTTTTTATGTAAGCTTCGAGATTCTGTTCTTCTTTATCTCTGGCTGATTGGACCAGCCGCAGCCACATGAGACCTTCTGAGGAACCATTTGCCGCCGAAGTGTCTACCTACAGTGTTCAAGAAAGACAAGAAGGGCCGTCCACGTGAAGGAGGGAAACCAGGGCTTTTCCTTCTGTTTGGTTTTTGTTCTCTCCTAACATCCCAAACCAAGTTTGCAAAACTTGACCAGAGTTGGACCACATCCCTATGTTTGTAGTCAACGGGCAAGATGATGATCCCTTGCGACATTAAGTCAGTTTTATAGGTTAGCCTATTCAGAATTTCATTTTCAGTTATCACAGAAGTAGAGGGAACTTCATGCGTTTCACAAGTAAATAGCAGGTTTGGATCTTAGAAATTATTCTGTGGCACTCATGTCCATCTTACTAACCGCAGCTTGAAGGATTAACATACAGGTTTTCTTAAAAAGGAAAGACTAGGAAACGTGAGGCCTGTTACAAACACAATTTAGGATACTTGGCTGCCAAAACAATTGCCATTCTTATTTAAATACAAACCCTGAGCACTAGCTAATCTTAACTATGAAAGCAATGTTCAGAAGATGAGGAGACATTCCAGGTTAGAAAACAAACATACTCAATACTTGTAAAAGTACTTCCAGGGAGTACTTACCATGTAAACAGTCCCAGCCCTAGAGAGGTCTCCCTAGCAATTTAGGAAGTCCTAATCTGCCTGAAACCCAGAACTAGGGCACTGATTTCCACATCCTTAGTATTTCAAGTCAAATTTTCTCAGAAAAATCAGTTGATAATTTGAGTCTAGTTTTTCTTTTCTAATTTTTGCTGTGTTCACTATGATTGCTCAAATGATCACATTGTCCTTAGGATGGTTCCTTGCTTATTCCCAACAGGAAGTCTCACCCTCAGACACCTCCATTGTACCAGCTGAAGACTTACCCGAAAGATATAAGGTACTGTTCTCTTGTCCGTGGACTTGAGGGCTATGAAGGCTATGCTGTCATACAGGGAAGTATGGCTCAGAACACAGGGACCGAATATGGCATTTTCTGGGATGTCGCAGGTTGTATATACACTGGTAAAAATATCTGTCAGACATTGTTGAACAGCTTTGGCATCTCCATCCCAGATGCCTCTCTGGATGCCTGAATCCTCCATCACTGGAGACAGATAGACAGGACAAGAAGTGAGTTGTTACTGCCTTTTCTGCTATGAACCTCGGCAGAGAGTTTCCGCTACTAGACATATTTTCTTTGCACTTGCCGGCTTTTTTTTTTTTCTTTCATAGCTCCTATTTTAAAAATAAAGCAGATCAATCTGGCAGGTTTTAAAGATGCCAGCTTCGAAGTATTATTCTTTCCTTTTAAATATCTGGAATGGGAAGCGTGAGAGCATGCTTCCTGCTTGAGAAAAAGAAAATAAAGAGCTTGTGAACACTAGATCATATCTACGTTGCTTTGGGGTGCATAGAGTGGGCTTTGGAGGTGAAGGTGGGTTTTTTTTTTAAACCAGCATATGTAGATTTTTTTTTCTGACTGAATACAACCCCCCCCCCAAAAAAAACTTTTAACCCTTGGGGGAAAGTCTGTCTTCCTATGTACTGGACCCAGTGCCTAATTTCTTCTTTTCTTCTAACGAGGGGAGCAGCCTTAGCTAGCAGGCGGGGGACAGCGGAGCATGGCGAATGGATTTTGAGTGGAGTGTCAGGGCCACTAATTCTGTGTCAGCTAACCTTTCTCTGCAGCCTACAAGAAGGGACGCATGTCTGCTCATTACCATAATCCAACACCGTCCCTCCGAGGCTTTAATTAAAAACAGCAAGCAGAGGTAATTATTTTTTTTCTGACATGCTTATTTATGGATGAGGTTGAATCCCAGTTACCTTGTTATACAAGGGGGTGGATTGAGTTGCTTGTGGCCCATGAAGCGAGCAGGTATAGGGCAGGCCTCAAGTATCCCCCGTCTGAGATACAGTGTGCAATGATTGGTGAATGCTCCCATCCCTGGGTATCTCCCTGTTCAGGCAAGAGGGGGCAGCCCTGCTTGAATGGTCCTCCGTGGACCCTCCAGCTGTTTAATCCGTAGCAATTTAGAAAGTAATGCCCCAGTGGAGGGCTCTCTATTAAGCTGTCATACAGGGAAGGTTTCCTTCCTCAGCCACCGGACACCCCCTACAAAACTTAGCACTTAAAGAAAGCAATAATTTAAGATATTTAAACTAGCTTTTAGCTGGTCGTGTCATTTTTTTTTCTGAGTGATCTAATGAGTCCTCTAAGTTGACTTTTCCCTAGTAATTTCGCCATTGACGGCGATTTCTCTATATTTATATAATTTAAGTGGCAGGGGAGCATCCGTCTTACTCTTTTCTTATACAGCTAGCAGTTCATTAAAGAACAATATTGGCGATGTGTATTTTTATCAGCATCTAGTAACCAATTTAGTCTTACAAATGTGATAAAATTCAGGTAATGCCTGAAACTCCAGTCAGCCTCTTTTCTAGTCATTCTTTCATATGCCCCAAATGGCAAGTATGTCTTCCAGACAGCGGGAGTAAGGAAAACAACCACAAAATTGAAAGTTTGGATGCTACCCTCTGTCCTGAATGCGTTCCATCCCGTTTTGGTTTCCAATTGCAGATCAAATACATTGCAGAATACAGGTTATCTTGGCTCCCTTTCAACAGAATCCCACTCTCTCTCTCCCCAGTTGCCTGCATTTCAATGTTTTGTACCTTGATTTCTGCCTTGCTTTTTGAAAGTATCTTTCACGGAAGTGTTTCATTGTGACAGGAGATCGCCCACTACTTCTGCAACAGCAGGGACTGCGACGCAGTCATTAAAATGCAGTTCTAACTAACAATACAGCGAAAAGGTCCCACGCCCGGGCTAATAGCGGTCGGTGTTGCCACGGTGGCCGCCTCGACGCAAGCCAGCCACAATAAGCCATAGGCAGAACCCAGCTAGTCTTTCACAGCCCGACGCCTATCCCTAGGCCCCGGGTTCTCTTCCTCCGCAGATTCTCCGGGGAAACCTAGAGCCGGGTGGGTTCGCTAAAACCGGTCCCTGCTGTCGCGGCTGCCGGATGGTCTCCCTCCACTCTGGGCTGGCATTGTCTGCCTGCCGCGAGCTCCCCAGTCCCTTGCTTCTCCCGCAAAGTGCTCCCACCCGCTCCTCCCTTTGTATAATCTTATTGGCAGTGGAGATAACATTCAGCAATCGCTTCTCTCCTATCTTCTAGATAACGAGGAGAAAGAAGGCAATTTCCCCCCCACTCTTTTCACTCAACCTGCCCTTTTCCCACTCCCCACCCCCAACGTCAATGCAAATAGACTTACCAGAAATAAGGTCAGGACCGAGTCTCCCAAATAGGGCCACCTGGAACCGAGAGGGTGCACCCCAGTGTTCCTTTCTGCCTATTACATTAGTGTTATCTCCATGTCAAGAGGTGTCGATGTCAGTCTTGTAGGTCCTGTCCAAAGAGAGAAGAGAGATGCAGATTGAGAGAGAGAGAGAGAGAGAGAGAGAGAGAGAGAGAGAGAGAGAGAGAGAGAGAGAGGAGGCGAGTTGTACAGATGGACCCGATGCAATGACTGACTGGCACGCAGACACACACTTTTTGTTTGCTGCACATAATCTGCCCAATGACGCGTGACAGCCCACGTCCCCTCCCTTTAACTCTTGCTGGTCTGGGAGCTCCCTCCGGCGCCGCGCCGAAAGCCTGGCTTCTCCGGCCTGCCAGAGCCAGGCAGATCCTGAGCTCCTTTCCCAAGTGATAAAGCCTCCCCAAGAGCAGCCTGGCTCGCCTCCTCCTGCGGCTGGGGCCCTCTGGGACTCCTGGGATGGCAAAATCAGTTTCAGGCTCTGGAAAGGAAGGTACCCGAAGGAGCAGAGCGGTTCTTTTCCATTTTACTAGGAGGACCTAGGACAAGGAGCTGGCTCTGTTGCCAGCAAGTGGACTGCTCGCATATGTCCCCAGAGTTTGAGTGCTGTAGCCCAAAGAAAGGGGGAGGATTTGCCCCGAGGGATTCTCTGGCTATTGAGCTGCAGCTAATCTGTGAGGCTAGTGACCTAGGAAGTGACAACCCCAGCTCTCTTAAAAGGCATTCTCCCTCCCTAGCAGTGAGTCCCCTGTAAATTCGGGGGACCAAGGGATGCGCTTTCCTGGGAACTTGGCTTAGCCCTCTCCCGCCCTAAGGGATGGGGTAAGAAGATAAATCTGGAATGCTGCCAGACCTCCTAAAGGGACTTCAGTGGTCTTCCGGTCCAGGAAAAGGGTCCCTAAGTGAGTATGGGCTGCGAGAACATTGCTGGGAAGAGCCTGACTCGTTGGACTCAGGTGTTAAAGCTTTTCACCCTCTGTATCGTGTACTGTGTGGTCCCCAAGGGGACCACATAATGGGAACAGCGACCGGGATTCTAAGACCTCGGGGTAAAGGGAGGATGGTTCAAAGTAAAATAAAAATTATTACTGAGACGGGCTCTCAAGAGCTTTTCATATCCAACCGCTGATGGACGAGTGGATGGAGTCGCAGGAGTGAGGCTGTCTCCGGAGCCTCGTTGGTGCGCTAAGCCACTTAGAGGCGCTGGCTTGTCCTTTAGAGCAGCAGCTGATGCTAATGACTTGAGGTCTTTGACAGAGGGAGAGTTTACTCATTCTGCAGGGGCCACAACACAATGACTGGGCAGCGGGGAGGGGGCTCTGGGGCTGTTTCTCTCTGGTAGGCTTTCCATTCCTAAGGGAAGAAAGGCCTTTGAGAGGCAGAAGCGATCCCCACAATTCCGACCCCCCCACTCCCAGTGCATTCAATTGGGCAATAGGTCAGGTTTAGTATAAATTCAATTGTACACGGTTTACTCACTCCCTAAAGAGCAAGAGGCAGGACCAGGATTTAAGGAGACAGTCTCTGTCCCTGCCTCTCAGGGTGAGCATATGAAGGGTTGGTAGAGGACAGTATGGTCCCCATGCAGTTCTGAGATATCTCTCTCTCTCTCTCTCTCTCTCTCTCTCTCTCTCTCTCTCTCTCTCTCTCTCCCTGGAGGCCAGCAACACACCAACACACCATCAGTGTCTTTCCTTGTAGTTACCTGCCGCCAGGGAAGAATGGGCATTGGAGAAAAGTAGGGAATTTCCTAGAAGTTCACATCTCCGGAGTCTTTTCTTTTCACCTCCTCCAGAAGGTCGCCAGTCCTGATGAGGCAGAATCCCCGGCTAGAATTAAGCTGGGGCTGGAGGAAGGGCCGGGTGCCAATCATCATAGACTAGGAGAAAGGTCAAAGTTCTCACTTGACTTCCAGGCTAACACCTGACATTCCAAAGAAAGTTCCTGAACAGCAGCTCTTCTTCAACTCCCAAATGTCCTTTCTCCTCTCTAAGTCTGTTCAGTTTAAAATATCCTGGTGAAGGAGTTCAGTGAAGTGGCAGTCTTCAAATATCTCCATCTAAGAGTCTGCAGCTGTATTTAGCCATCAACCTTCTTACAACTCCATTGATTTCTCCTCATTCTGAACCCTCTGCATCCTCCTCCTCTCCTCCTTCTCCCCCTCTCCTCCTCCTCTCCTCCTTCTCCTCCTTACCCTCCTCCCGCTTCTCCTGCCCCCTTCTCTCTTTCTCACAGCATTCCCATACTGATATTTTAAAGAAAGGATCAGAGCATTAGAAATGTTGAAAGAGTTGTCTCAGATATGGAAAATAAGCCCCTGGGTAAAAGAATACAGGCAAGATATTTAAGTGAATTAAAGAAGGAAAGCCATGAAAGACCAGAAAGGCCCAAATGTAAGCAATAGAAAGGCATGAGAGAAAAATCAGTTCTAGGACTGGAGAGATGAGGCGAGGCTCACAACCAACAATGTAAGAAAATGAGTTCTCATAGGGCTGTGGTGGGGTAGAAACTAAGGCCTGGTCCAGGTAACACAAGCCTTAAGGGGGACACAAGCTGGGGGAACTCAGCTCCATTAATGAGTTGAACAGAACAGAGCTTTGTGTCTGCTTTGGTTATCCTTTAGAAAACACCAAGTTTGTTTTTCCCAGAAAACATCATCTGCCGGTGCATTTTAACAATCTCCATACATCCTGTAAACACCCAAGCCCCCATTCCACTTCAGAAGGCTTCTAGAAAATGAACTCTCTTAATGGAGGGTGTTTTTCTTATGTCTGACTTTTTTCTCCTCCAGTGTTATGCCTCTTTTCTCTTTCTGTCTCTGCTGGTGTACTGAATTCTTGTTTCTACCTGGTGAAAAATAAAGAATGTCTCTGGCATTTCATGTGGGAGTTGATGAGCTTGGTTTTCAAATCTAAAACTGGAGGGAACCTAGAATTCAGTACATCAGGAGGAAGAGAGGCCTACCTTCCTCAAGTTCTCTACCACTGAGCTACCCTCCAGCTCCAAGGTGAGATTTTTTTTAAAGAATCTGATCAAAAGATGTTTCATCTCATTTTTGTTCATCCTTTAAGTAAATGTCCCTTCTGCTTTTAAGTTAAAGTGTCTAAATTTTAAAATCCCTCACATTGATGGATCTGAGTTGCTCTTTTGTTTGAAGACCAAATAAATGCCTGACATATCCAAACCAACAGTTATGCTGAAATTCCTGCTTCAGAGGCTTCCATTTTTAAGTATTTTAAGTGGTATATATATTTTATTTGGTCATATATGTGGTCAAAATGACTATCATTAATAGAACATTAATAAACTCCACCATTATTTTTATTTTTCTAGCAATGTATGGGCCAAGGCAGTACACAAACTACTTTGAAATCACTTACTGGATTTCAGCAATGCTAAATGAGGAGTTGAGACATTTATTCAGCCTCAGACAGTGCTATAAAAACACACTGCACTCAATAGTTTTATGCAGTGAAATAGAACACTGGGTTTATGAATGTACTTGGAGCTCTTTCCTGGGGGTTTATTTCCAACTAAAGTGCCACTCGTAATGAGCAAGAGCACTCACTCTGCTCTGCTTTGGCAAGGTTTCATGCAGCTGTGGCAACAAGCACGCAGGTAGACTATGGCAGTGCTGCTGTGGAAGAGAAGGTGAGAGAAGCTGATGGACGATTATTGACCTACAGGAGAGAGTGAAGAAAGGACAAGGAGTGAAGTTTGGTCCTCAGTGAATTTCTCCCTCTGGCTTAAGAAGCAGGGCCTCAAATACGTGAAGTTCCACCACAGGAGAAAAACAATGACTTCTCTGAGAAGAAGTCACATAAGGATTGGCCACTGTTAGCAAGAACACATCGTTTTGTTTTTCTATGTCTGTCTAGGTCTTGGTTTCTATCTCTAATCCCATTGCCAAAGCAATCTACCAGCACAGCCTTGGTGACCAAAAGAGTTTGGCAATTCATAGTACACAGAGGATTCTTCTTAGAGATGAAGGGAACATTGTTCTCAGACATGAGAGGATATGCAGGAAGCAGAAGGTAGCAGCTCTTCCCAAGCTGGTTAAGTTCCTACAGGGATGTCTGCAGAAGAGGACGTCAGTGTTGGACAGAGAGAGAGAGAGAGAGAGAGAGAGAGAGAGAGAGAGAGAGAGGGGGGGGATGGAGGAAGGAAGGAAGGGGGAGAGAGAGAGAGGGAGGAAGGGAAGGAGGGAAGGAGGGAGAGAGGGAGGGAGGGAAGGAGAGAAGGAACTTCCAGGTGCAGCATGATATTATCTTACTTCATCTTTCTTGGAATGAGGAGTCTTCTAAGGGAAAAATATGACTGATGATTTGTATTTAGAAGCAGAAACCATGGGCAATGTGCCACTGGTTTGGGCGAAACACCTGTCAGATACCATAACTATTGATGATGGGTCAGTTCATTTCTTATTCTTTGGGGGGGCTGGAATGGGGGGGTGAGACATGGTTTCTTTTTCATGGTTTCTCTATATAACCTTGGCTGTCCTAGAACTCAATCTGTAGATCAGGCTGGCCTCGAACTCAGATATCCATCTGCCTCTGCCTCCCCAGTGCTGGAAGTAAAGGCGTGTGCCACCACACCAGGCTACCACTTTCTTTTATTGAGAATAATAACTGATGAGTTTAGAAAGAGAGTGAGATACGAATCTCATTATTTGTTTTATGTCTTGCTGAGCATAAAGGTTCACCAACATTGAGTGCACAATTTGTGTTTTACAAGTGTATATGGTAAGCTCAGTTTAGGTCTATCCCTCTCCTGGGGTATTAGAGCTTTAATAACCACTGGGTGGTTATTTTTAGAAAAATGTGCTTCCTGGTCTGGTCCTGGGAAATCATCCATCTCATGGGATGGATAATTCTACAGCGTGTCAGGAAGAAGTTCATATTCTCCACACTCTCCTCACTGTGCCTCTTCAGAGGAAAAGAAAGAAAGAAAAAAAGACTTTCTTTCCTTTCTTTTTTTCTTCAGTCGTCTTTAGTATCATTGTGATTACACTCTACCTTCCTCTGAGTTCTTTGGGGTTGATCTGAGAGCCGGGTCGTGTTTAAAGGCATGTGTCATTCACGTCCTGCTCTGCCACCCCTTCTTGGATCTGAGTGGTAGCCTACTGGCTCAATGGCTTCTGAATACAAGTTCCAGAAGGGCTAGCAGTCTGAAATGATACACTATTAATCTAAAAATCAATGCTTCACACTCACCTGGATGGGGAGGATGTGTGAACCCAGTCTAGTATATTGACCCTTGGATAATGCCAGCCTTTCTACCACTCTCTAGATGAATGTCTAGAGATCTCTCAAGGGGCAGCTAGTTTTCTGTCAGGTCTGTAGATTCTTGAACTCTTCCCAGACTCTGACACCACTGGCCATCAATAGCACTATGAAAGGTGAGCTGAACAAAAGAGCAACAGATTACAGAGAACTGCTCAGCACTCCTCATCAATGCCAGGCAGGGTGGGATCTTGGCATGTCTAACAGTGAAGAGAGAGGCTTTTGATGAAGCTGGCTTAAGTCTGGAGAATGTCACCAAGCTGAGAGACCTTATAACAGATTTCTTCACTCAGCCAGGAGAAAGATCTTACCCTGACATTCAACACCTGAACTCTATCTACCCCATGCCTCATTTCAAACTATAACTCTAGACTTTAATCCCAGCACTTGGGAGGCAGAGTCAGGGGGATCTCAGTGAGTTCTAGGCCAGCCAGGTCTACAGAGTGAGTTCCAGGACAGCCAGAGCTACAAAGAGAAACCCGATCAGTGGGGAGGGAGGCACTGATCAGGCATACTATGTGCATTTCCCAGGCAGACTCATTCCCTGGTGCCTAATTCCAGCTGGCCTTTTGAACAGATAAGCACTTACCCTGCAAGGAATTGTTTGCTGGGAGTGAGCAGAAAAGCATTTCTTCTCTTAGGGAAGGAGTCTATCCAGAGTACACACAAGCTCAGGCCTTTCTAGGTTGGAATTTGCTAATGGTGATATACTTTTTGAGACCTTTGGGAATACCAATAGTAACAACAGTGAGATTCACATTGCTTTGTAAGAGTTTTAGAAGTCCTCCTAAAATCCAATTTAAATTACTCCTCTGCTTGCATTGCCATTTGAACTGTTGGAGTACAAGCCATCTTCCATGATTTCAGTGCAAATGGACAACAGGTGTTCCATAAATTAATTTAACATCAGTAGAGGATGTTTTCTCAAATGTATTGTGGAAAGCCTATAACTTTCAACATATTTTTAAAAGTACTTAAAATCACCAGCAAATATGGTTTTCAATGAGAATACTTGGAGAAGTAGTATCCTTAAAAACTCAAAGGTGAAAAGCTTGTCAGAAACAATAGTAACATCATAGATGTGACAGACATCAGGGAGTGTACTTCATGAGGTGAAGGAAACTGCAGTGGGGGTTGACATGCATGTTTGCTCTTTTGAATGAATTAGATGGAAAGCTACTTCTCACGCTGGCATGGGAGTCCCTAGCAATAGGATATATCGGTTACAGTATATCAAAGAGCCTCCATAGATTTTAACAAGAACTCATGTTTTAAAAAAAATGGATTATATTTAAATTTCCAAATGAATCTTTTTGAAATATTTTTAAGTAAACATAATTGACTATAATGATTGTAATATTTGTGATTGCCTAGGCCTCAAATTCAATGTAGGCCAAAACAACTGTGCACTTCACTCATGGTTCCATCTATCTGTCTATCTATCTATCTATCTATCTATCTATCTATCTATCTATCTATCTATCTATCTATCTCTAGATGACTGTAACCTTTTTAGAATGAAATTGAAATTCATATATCGAGGAGTACATAAATGGCAATTTTCAACTGGAGGCCACATTCACCCCGAGAGATGCCC